CTACCCCCCCGGGGCCCCCTAGCTCCACCCCCAATCCCACCTCCTACCACCCCAGGGCCCCCTAGCTCTGCTCCTGAATCCCACCTCCTACCACCCTGGGGCCCCGTAGCTCTGCCCCCAATCCCACCTCCTACCACCCTGGGGCCCCACTAATTCCACCCCTAATCCCACCTCCTACCACCCTGAGGCCTCCTAGCTCTAACCCCAACCCCAACCCCTACTACCCCAAGGCCCTCTAGCTCTGCCCCCAACCTCATGTCCTACCACCCCTGGCCCCTAACTCCGGCCCTCCAGACCCACCTACCACTCTAGACCCCTAGCTCTGCTCCCAACTCCACCTCCTACCACATTCCTCCTACCACCCCAGGGCCCCCTAGCTCCGCCCCCAATCCCAACTCCTACCACCCCGGGGCCCCCTAGCTCTGCCCCCAATCCCACCTCCTACCACCCCAGGGCCCCCTAGCTCTGCATGAGAAAGAAAAATAAACATCCCGTAAGTCCAAACACATAGTTGCTGCTCTTGGGAGAAGTAAATTGTAGTTAGATACAATAGGAGAGTTACATTAAGGCCACCTCTCTGGTACAATTTATCAACACCCTTCCCAAAACCATCCTAGTCCATGGTGAAAGATGAAAAGCTTCCTCCTGGGGCCAGCAGGTGGTACAGTGGTTAAGGCGCTGGACTCCACGTGGCCAACCTTGGTTCAAATCCAGACCTGGTGGCTTGCTCTCTCTCTCTCTCTCTCTCTCTCTCTCTCATTCTCTCTTTCTCAGGCACACATCCCCTATAGCAAAATTTAAATAATAATAATAGTAAATTTAATTAATTTTTTTTAAAAGAAAAGCTCCCTCCTAAGATCAGGAACAAGATGAGAATGCCAGCTTTCACCACTTCTGTTCAGCAGAGATTTGAAAGTTCTAACCAGAACCATCAGACACAAAAAAGAAAGAAAAGGATCCAAGCTGGAAAGGAAAAACTAAAATGATCTCTGTTCACAGATGACATGTGGAAAACCCTAAAGATGCCACACTAAAGAAAACTATTGGAATAATAAATTCAGCAAAGATATAGGTTATAAAATCAACGCGCAAAAATCAGTTCATAAATTAAGAACACGGTAGCAAACAGTGACCAACTCCATTTACAATACCATCAGGAAAAATAGAATATTTAGTAATAATTTCTTTTTTACATTATGAGAGTGATAGAAGGAAGAAGTATAAAGGGGGAGAGACAGAGGTGGATTTTTTTTTTTAATTGCCAGAGAGCACATGCGTACACTTGCCAGAGAGAGAAAGGAGGGAGGGAGGGAAGAATGATAGAAAGCACCCCTCAGTGAGGTGTGGTCATGCCACAGTCTGTTTCCTCCTTGCTTCCTTCCTCCCAACACACTCACCTGGCATGTTTTTATAAGCCCCTGGGGTTGGGGTTCAAACCACAGTTGGCTACACAGATCTGACGCCCTTAACCACTAGGTTACAGGGCTGGCCACGGATAAGAATTTCTGACAGGGTCTCACTGTGTTGTGAGTCTCCTGCCCGACTCCCAATTATACCATCACAGACACGACATAAATGCACCTGGCATGCTCAGATTGGCCTACAAACTGAGCCCAGGCCTCCCGTGTGGCTTCCTTCTACCAGTCCAAGCAGAGACACTGCCTGCGAGCCACCACAGCTGGGCCTCATAAACATGACCAAGGCTGTGAAAGACTGAAAACTGTAAAATACTGCTAAAGGACTATAAAGAAGACAGTGGAGACATCCCGTGTTCTTGGGCTGGAGGACTTAATATTGCTAAGATGTCAATACTCCCCAAAGTGCTCTATAGACTTAATGCAATCCCTATCAAAACCCATTTGCATTTTTTGTAAAAATAAAGAGAGACATTCTAAAGTACAAATAAATTATCAAGGAAGCCCAAACAGTCAAAACAATCTTAAAAGAAGACAAAGCTAGAAGACTCACACTTCCTGATTTCAACACTCAAACAAAGCCATAGTCATTAAACTAGTACAGAACTGGCATGAGGACAGACACCAAGCAATGGAACATAATAGAGAGCCCAGAAATAAACCCTCACATATAATTAATCAATTAATCTTCAACAAGAGTGCCAAACTGGATGTCAACATGCAAAAGAATTAATTTGAACCATAACCTTACATCATAACCAGAAATTACCTCAAGGATACAAGACCCAAACACAAAACCTAAACTATAATACTCCTATGAAAAATCAGGAAACAAAAATTATATTGGATTTGACAATGAATTCTAGGATGCGACAAAGGCAGGGGTGACCAAAGACAAAAATAAATAGCATTTTACCAAAATAAAAACTTTGATGCATGGAATACTACCAAGAGGCTGAAAAGACAATCCATAGAATCAGAAAAAATATTTGCACATCATTTATCTGAAAAAGGATTCATATCCAGAATAAAGAAGTCCTATGACTCAACAATCAAAAACACCAACACCCAAATCAAAAATGGGCAAAGGGCTTGAATAGACATTCCTCTAAAAAAGATACACAAATGCTCAATAAGAACATAAAAGAAGCTTGCGCTCCTTAGTCATTAAGGAGATCCAGACCAAACCACAACCGCCTCATTCCCATTAAGATGGTCGATATAAAAATAAAACAAAACCAGTTAATAACAAATGTCCATGAGGATATAGAGAAATTGAAACCCATTGCAAGTAAAATCACAAAATGGTGCAACTGCCATTGAAAACAATGTGGCGATTTCTCAAAAAACTAAACACAGAAATAACATATGATTCAGTAATTCCACTTCTAGGCATATATTCCCCACTCCTACCCCCCCAACAAAAAAAGCAGGGAGCCAGACCCTGGTGCGCCCATGTTAACAGCAGCAATAGTCTCAACAGCCGAATGGTACCTGGAAGCTGCCCAAATGTTCAT